TACGTGGTTCTCACTCTCATCGATGAGTAAAAAGAAAAAATCAGAACCACCAATGGTTTTAATTTTTTCCTCTTTGTGACAGTTTGGTTATACGCTTGAAAATCGCTTTCAGTGGCTTCAGTTCCTTTCTGGCTTGGATAACGAGCAACTTAACCAGCTGCCTTTTGCACCTTGTACAGCGGTAAGTGATCGTTTCAGTTCTTCCAGCGATAGAGACCGTGAAAAGCAGTAAAAAGTGTTGGGGCGTTTCTTTTCCTGCAACTGTGGTCGTTTAAAAGGTTAAAGTTAAAACTTTTTAATTCAATGTGTACAGTAGTTTAGAACTCTCCGCCTTCCTTGCAAGACTTTATTCGCCGCAGTAAAGAAGTTAGTCATTTGCCGGTATTCAGCTTCTGTTGTTTCGACAACTGTTTGGAGAATGAAAAGAGGAATGATTTGTATTGCAGTGGAATAAAAGCAAAAAAGTTGCACGAAATAGAGAACTTTGCTTTGATTCTTAAAGAATATTGCAGACGTTATTGTATCAAACGCATAATTGACGTGGGTTGTGGAATTGTAAGTTTGATGATTTGGTAGGCTCTGCTCTTTCGCTTTGGGTTTTTTTCAGTTCTGGTCACTTTGTAGGGGCATCTCTTGAATTATCTCGCTGATGAATTTGAGGTTGTTGGGGTAGAATGTGACGAACGACTTTGCTGTGTTGGAAGACATCGATATAGTAAGAGTTGAGCTAGTTATTGCGGTGAGTCGGCAAATTTCGGAACTGGTTTAAGGTTTTTATTAATGGGGCTCCGCACTCTATAGCCTGGTTTTTGTGATCTAATAGACCTTTGAAAACATCAAAGTAATATTTTTCAAACCCTTTTTTATCAAAGCAAGTTACTGAATCGGTTGCATTGTTTATCATTTTAGGCTCTATAAATTACAGAAATCTAAAATTGAACAGAGAAAGTTTGGGGGATACTCATATCCTCAGTTTTTTTGAGGGCACAGAGGTATGTTTTCAGTTATTATGTGACGGCTATGTTCAATCTTATGACTTTTGGTAGTACCGAGTTGTGATTTGCACACCAAAAGGATTCTGGTGTTTTCAACAATTTGTTATTTCTTCATCGTAATTCATTCTCGTATTTTCAGCCTGACCGTAGTGCCATTGTATCTTTACACGGCTGTGGTGATTTGCAAACAATTTTACTGAAGCTTTTTACGCGACTTAAGAAGGAAAGAGTGCCCTTAATTTTTGTTGTTTCGTGCTGTTACCATAAAATGTCTGGAATAGGTGATAACTTGGGTTTTGCCTTTTTTTGGATAGTTTATTTATAATTATTAATGTCTTTTATACCTTAAAACCAAACAAGATTATTCATAATTTTTTCTGGTCTTTCACGATTTTGATAAAGATGAAGAAGTTGCTGCTTGGGCTCTTAGTGATTGCGTTAGAAAAATAAGTCCATCAGGCTGGAGATTGAGACGTAGTGGTCTACGGCTTGGTTCTCAAAAGCAGATATGCAGGTAATAATTGATAAAACATCAACTTTATTTCTGTTAAGATTTGTCGCTAAACCTTCCTATTTTAATTTTCTCAGATCCCATCTTGTCAGTTTGTGATACCTGACATTGATTTCAAGGCTTTATTCATTTTTGTTCTTTCATATGTTTACTATAAATTCCTTCTATTACTTTACTGCATGTTGTGCTTTAAAAAAATTTTTAGTTGGGTTTGTGGTAGAGAACTACGGTCCTTTCATGAGAGGAATTTTTTGACCAGAGCCCTTCTCGAATGTGTCAATGACGTAACAGGTTTTGAAGTTTCATTAATTTTGATTATAGAAAAATCCCGTGTTCTTTAATAGTATTTTGCTTTGATATCGACACAGCGACAAGGATCCAGATGGAAGTTTTTTATTTGATGATTTGTTTTGGTTATTTAGCTTGCACTAACAGAAATATTATTTTTTAACTTTTCAGGTATAATATCACCTAGCTCTCCTCGGCAGTTATCTCGATCACTTGGTAGTATCGACAACATTATTTCTATTATCGCAGGTCGGATGAATATCTCTAAAGAGCTTTCTTTGGAACTTGAAAACGTATTGAAGAGGATTTTACAGGAAAATAGAAAATACTTTTGTTATGTTGAACCTTATACGGTTAGTCTTCTAACTAATTTTTATTCTCAGGCTTCTATGTTTTACATGTTTTTGCTCTGTTTAATAGGTCCTGAAATTTTACTAATAAATTTTATTAATTGGCGTCTATTGGGTCTTCCAGCTGCTACAGTCACTAATTCAAATGCCAATAGAATCGCTAATCCTATGGGATCGTCTATACTTCTTAATCGAGTCAGGTTATGAGGCCCAACTGCGTTTAATATTTAACCCTTTAATTTCACCTCGCAATTACTGTATTATTGGCTTAAAAAACAATAATATTTTTTGAATGTACTCTATAATAGCAATACGGGATACCGTTATAATATGACAGCTGTTTATGACATTCTAAACCTAAATTAGTTTATACTGGATATATGAGGCGTTGAGTGACAGTTCCATTATTAACAGTCAGTAAGCGTCTCGGCTTCTTAGTATATTTATATCAATGCATTGAACAGTAAAAATGTTGAAAAACTAATTATTTTTATATATTTTTAACAAATCAGTGCAAATTTTGTGTTCATCTGACACGGTAATTTTGCTCAAATCTTCTTTTGCGCATCCTAAAAAACACACCAAAATTACTTTTCATTCTTTTATTTCATCAAAGATTTTTTGTACAAACATTTTTTACCACCGTTAAAAAGGTCACGGACACTAATGTTTTTTGACAGCTGTAAAAGCTTTTTGAATTAGTAAACTTCTATAATTCCACTCATTATGTCGCGGTGGTATTTGCAAATTTACCAAAAGGACAAAAGGAGTCTATTTGCTTTACTCTACCAGTGTAGCTTCTTTTAATTATTTTTAAGTTTCTTGAAAAAGGTACTTAGACTAGTAAAATAGCCATGAAAACAAGAAATACGTGGGAAACGGCACTTGAGTGCTCGATTTGCGTGCTGCATTTACCATGTAGTCTCGTAGTTCACCGACCCAAACCGTGACGGTGTCTGAAGTCAAATGTGATAGCTGTACAGGCGATGGTTTAAGAATAACGTGATTGAGTGATCCGTTTTCAAAAGTACGTGGTGAAGCCACTTTAATCCATCTAAATTTCTTCCTTTCTGGAGTGGGGTCGCTGCAAAGTAAGTTAGAGTGAATTTTCAACAGATCATTTGATCATGGACGCTTTACTCTATCATATAAGTATTTTTTATTTAGATTTTTGTTTGGTGATGTAAACTGCTTCTTGGCTATGTTGCAGTTATTTGTAACAAATAATTTTACTGCTTCAATTGAAACAGTCTACCGATATTTAATAAAGTTTGCCCACAGTGCTCCCATCGTGTTGACCATATTCAAATCACTAGTAGTTGGCGAAAAGCTTAGATCTTTGCGTATGGATATGCCAGGTTGTGAAAACAAGTACTGTAGTTCAGAGCCGTGAAGTACTCCTGGAAATTGTTAATGCACGACAACTACGTCATCTGCTCACTGCATATAATTTTGGAGCAAATTCATTCAGGATGTCGAACAGTTTTGGAGATTCAATATCCATTTCTTTTTAAACAGTGGACAGTTAAAAAATGCTGACCTTTCCATGGCAAACCTATCATTTCTGCATCACTGTAGTGTGAGAAAAGGTAGGCGTAAACGTTAACTCCTTCTAAGCGTTTGATCACCTGCAGCATTGGACCTTCATATTCGGATTCAGTGGTCATCTGAATAGATTGGTGAATGTTACACAGTCAGATTTGTTTACTTGTAGCAAGCTGTCAATATAAGCACTGTTGCTGAAATAATGTCTTCTGCAGCCGGTCCTTTACAATGACTGCGAAATTTTGGCAGATTAAAATTCATTAGAAAAATAAATTTATGTTGATCATTTATGTTCTTGTTATTATCTACTGCTGAAGAATTAAAAATAATTTTTCTAAACTACTCAATTTGATAGTTCATGGTGTCGATGGTAGAGCGACCAGTCATACTAAATCAAACGTACTTTAACGAATCTGCTAAACCAAGTTTCTGGCAATTTTGGAGGATTCTCAAAATAATTTCTAAGCAGTAGCCTTCTTGTATGAGTATACGCCCAGTCATTTTCCATGGCTAGTGCTTCGGCGGTATGATTCAACTTCTTGATGAAGTCAGTCTCGTTGAAGTTTGCAATTTCACTTTTTTTATAAAGAATTCTGAATATTTCTGCAAAGAAATGAATCTTTTATGTAAATTTAAACATTAAGTACTTTTCACTTACTGCGATATACCATTCTTTAATCTGCAGTGTCCATCTCACAGCTAGCCGATGCTCTTTTCAATTGACTTGCGGAATCCAATTACTGTTTAAGCGTTTCAACAAAAAACAAGCTGCTTACCATCGCTTGCTGATTCATCTTTATTGACACCAATAAGTACTGGAACTTTGTTAACGATGGGGTCGTTTACCTTGAAATGATTTATGCACGGGACAAAATTTAAATCCTAAACGACGTGCTACAGTTTTTTCTGCTACAATTTTAAACCAGTTTTGTGGGAATTGTGGAAACAACTACGCAATTATGCTGGTTATTAAAGTTTTAACAAACGATTTTGAACTATTTAACCTCGCTCGCATCAAGTAAGTCATTTGACGATTTTCTGTTCAAACACTGCAAGTCTTTTTCGTGGCACCCTATTCGTTTTTTCAGTTGTTCTATCGCTAAACAACTCATAAATCTGCAAGTTTAGACTGCTTAGAGGTTATTTATATGATTTTCCTGAATACAGTTGATAACAGTAAATGGATGTGAGAAACAAGGCAGCAGTTATTTTCTTTTTCATTCTGTCTCCTAATATTTCCTTCTAACTAAATTTGAGAATATAATTCTTAAAAGCAACCTTTCTCTAGCATACTGACCGCTCTGAAGGATTGCAGCTGAAAACAAACCGCTTGACGCTTTGTCTTTCATATGTACCAGCACGAACTCTGCGCCACTGCCACTACCTGCCAGTGTCACCCGAGCTGCAATAATGATAAATACTAGGTAACTCGCTGATAGTCGCCGGCGGATACATTGAGCAAGTCGCGGTTAAGTAACAATTTCAGCTAAACTTCAATTTTTACAAATTGAGTTAATTTATAATTTTGAATTCTTAGGTGTTACTTATATTTCGGAATTTCTAGTAGTGAAAACAAGAGGACAACAGCAGCTGAGTAATTTCTGAGTCGATTTAGGATTTCAAAATTAGTGGTATAACTACAACAGAACAACAATTTAATTATTAAATGATTTGCTAAAACTACCTGGATCACCACCAAAATACTCAATATTTTCTTTAATCCACTGTAGCGCCATCTGTTGGTCTTTAAAACCGAGATTAATAGTTTCGTTTAAAGCCATAACACCAACTCTAAAATTTTTGATATATATACGATGAACCGCCGTAATTGTAACCTGTATTTAAAGTCAAATACCTGTTAAGAAAAACGACAATTGCAAAAATAATGCACTTTTTGACTTATCTAGTTAATGACTGTTTGAGGAATATTCCAGTTAAAGTAATGTTCATTTGATAATTTAACCATTAAAAACTAGTTGACAAGATTTTAAGCTTTTCTTCTCAAAGCGCTCTGCTGGTAAACATAGGCGTATATTAGAGCTGGCACTTTACACGGAAACCTTTAACTAGAAAGTTCTTCTTTAATCAGAAATAGAGAAAATGGATAGAAAATATTTTATAGTCTTTGGGGGAGCTTTGAAGGAGATAGATTAGTAAGGAGAGGAGGAAGAATAACCTTAAGTAGTTTTATGGTCTTTTGAAACTGAATGTTAGCAGCGATGTATCATAATACATAATTTTTAAGTTATTTTGAAAATTCTTATGTAGTAATGGGAATATTACAGTCGCAGAAAACCTATCTCTAAGACATCTCTTTCAAGGTATTGTTTTTTCCTCAACTCTTTTCTTCTTTCTCGCTTTCAACCCTCTGCTTCCTTATCCTCTTTTTGTATGACACACAGGCAGAAAAACGTTTCACAACTTCCTGGTACTTCTGTTTTAGGTTGGACTCACTTAGAAAAAAATTCTTCTTCTAGTTTTTTTTTTCATCCTTTATTTTGTCTTAAAAATTATTTTGAATAATGTATGGCCGCTGAAAAGAAGTTCAACGAACTGCCATATCACATCTTTAGTAAAGACATCGGAAAAAGAACCTCTAGGGATTTCAGTACTTGATATGTCTTTATGGCCAACTGAGCTGTGAGACATTAAATTTCACTGTCAGTTGGTTTGACAGTTTAGAGCTAACCAGCCTAAAAAACTAAACTGAAGCAGTATTTATAAAAGTGGTTATGAGAGAAATAAAGGAATTGTAAACCTGAAATTAAAGGTTACAGCAACAATTCCTCTTGCTGCAATGTTGTTCTTGTAGCCGGACTCCGGTGACACTTCTGATATACCTCCTTTTGAGTGATGAGTGTGAATCCAAACAAATACTGGTAACAGCTTCTCATCATCTCTCTGTAACTGTGGCACATATCTAAGCGACAATTTTAAGTTTGAGTTTAAAGCTAAAAATAAGGAGTTATTGCAGTTTTGATAGCAATTACTGTTGGCTACCAGTGTTCTGGTCAAACAGAAAAACAAATTTTCAAATAACAATTTAGTATGTATCAAAAAATCATGATGTTTTTTGGTCCTACACGAACTGATAATAAACTTTCAGTTATTGCTTTCAAAGCAATATTGCCGCTAAATGAAAAAAAACGGCTATTGTGATGACAAGTGGTGGTATTATTCTGAAAAAACTGTTGTTTACTGTGGTGAAAAGCAGCTAGACGACTGCGATGATCCGTATTTGAAGATTACCAAATTTATTAACCTTTAATTAAAAGATTTCAAGATTTTGTAGATATTTATTGAAAGATTAAACGCTTATTAAACTTATTAAAGTCTTGGTAGACAGATTAAGTTCTCTGTACATAGTGTCCTCAAATTCTGTTCGTACCCTGCGTCTCATCCTAAAGACTAGAAGTATGCAGAATCTTTTTGATCTTTGGCTCCTCGAATGCTACAGACATATTTTTCGTTTTGTTCAGTAATTAAAAAAGTACATATTATTTAGTAAAAGTCATTTTTTTGAAACCTTCAGCAGGCTAACAAGGATATCGAGGCAAAATATGACTTTAAAAGCTATTATTAAGTTTCTTTCTTGTAAAAACTGTAAACAGTCAGACCAAAATTTACTGGCCAAGTAGTCTTCGCTAGTAAAATTTTTTTTTGGTAAGCGTAATCTGTAGTCACTAAGAATAAAAATGAATGCGAGAAACGCACTGACTTCAGTGTTTATAATTTCTCCGTTTTCACAAAATTATTTCTATCATAATTATCGTAATGCAGTAAATCGCCAGCTATTTCTTAGTAGCTGCCATTATAAAAATTCTAAAAATGTATGCGTTAATAGGGGAAAAAATCTTGACATGTACATAAGTACGGTATATATTAGAGATAAATTTTTGCAAGAAAAATGAGGCACTCAAAGCACTTTTGATAATATTTGTTGAGAACCAGAACGTTATTTGCTCAGCTACAGGAAATTTGTTTAGCAATCTTACATCAATAGTAAAAATGCTAATACGAAGGCAGTCTTCGGTACCAATAGCGCTTAACGTGTCTTTTTGAAGACAAGCGTCCTGATAATAAGAAGATGCATTCTTTGCTAAATCTGCCCATGATTTCACTTTTATCGGATACTGAAAATTTAGAAGAAACAAGTGATTAAACTAAAACTTGATAAAAATAAGCATCAAAAGTTGCGCAAACGGTGCAGAGATCCAAAATATCTCTTCGCCACCCGGCAGTCTTCAAGATCACCAAGTGAAAAAATTGGGGTATTTGAAGCCTTAAATTTTTTTCTCTGAACCGGTTGTTTCTGACCAGTCAAGTCATAAATGAACTGTAAAATAGAACAGACTGAAGTTCGCAAATACCTTTTGGTTCGTATTACCTGAAAACGATAGTTCCCTGTTGGTGCCTGTGCATACGGAATTCCTTGAAACGTGTAGACCTTTAAAGCTTTAACATTTCAAAAAACTCTTTATAACTATAATTCAGTGATCTATCACATATGAAACCAACTAAACAGCTGTATCTCAATGTCAGCTTTTGACGGCAAAACCTTTATTCATAAATGATCTATATTTTGTTTAATCTAAATTTTTTTCATTGATTTTTCTTTTTTTCTTTTTTTTTTCGTTTTTGATTGTATTTCAACAAAAAGATTGTCTAATGTTTTTACTCAGTGCATTTGCAAATTTCCAGTTAAAATTTAATGTACAGATTAATTTTAGAAAATGAGTCGATTAGCCACAATGACAAACAATAAAGACAGTAGTGTTAGCCCAGTTAATACCCGACAAGCAACTATGTTCTTTCTATTTTTACAGTTTATATCAAACATCCAGTGTTAAACGATAAACTGCTATGGTATAAAGATAAACTATTTTAGAAAACCTGCTGTCCGTTTGCAGCGATAGTTTTTCGGCCAACAACTGGGCCATCTGGTGTAAAAACAGTTTCGTCGCAATTTGCACCACTATAACAAAAAAATTAGGTCACAAGTTAAACTGAGGAAATACAACTTCTAGATAATCAGTTCTTTTTCACATGTTTTGCAGTTTCTAAGACAACCTTTTTTTTAATTCTAAAGCAAATAGTAACAATGTTAATGATTACCATAAACAAATTGGTATATATAAGCAAAATTTTACAAAAAAAATTGTTTTTGCAGTAAATAGAAAAAAAACTCAGTTAAAAATAAAGTGATGATGATTATAAAGACGATTATACTAGCTAACCGATGATGAAGAAGTCCAAAGCAGTAGTATATTAACAGTAAATAATCACTGTTAATTATCATATTTTTAGCAGTATTACTGTACATTTCTTATTTGTGTTTTGCACTTTTTTTTTGTGAAATAATTATACATCAAGAAGTAAATAATTAAGTAAATAGATAAATAAATAATTATTGACATATAATTAGATTTTTTTTCTTGTCTCAACTCTTTTAATTACTGAAACAAAACAAGGCGTTAAGAAAGAGAGAGATGAAAAAGCCCAATTTAATGGACTTGTTTTGTTTCTTTTTTCTTTCTTTTTAATTCTAATCTAAGGATTGCAACAAAAGATATTGAAAAAAAAAAAAAAAAAAGAAAGTATGTGATCGCTTGAAGTTAGGTCAATTTGTTTTTGAGCAATAACGCTGCGTCCAGAAGGTGCTGCTGACAAATGAATGAGAGGAACAATCTAAGAAAGACTGAGAACGGTATCCGGCCGACTGTAAGAGGCTTTTTTTTTGTACCTACTTGTGCTCTGTCAACGTCGTCGTCGTTGTCATCAACTACATCTTGTGTATCATCTGCGTCTGTATTACTTTGATTAAGAAATTTTATCGGCAAACACCGATATATCCGTGCTATAGAACACTGTTCTGTGTACTTCGGTCTGCTACTGACTACCAGAAGAAAAAACAAAAAAAATTGCTTACATTTTTCTTTGCAGCTACGCACAAATTCGTTTTGCTGTGTAAACAATAAAGTATCATCTGAAGATTATAAGAAAATTCTGTACACACACTATGATCACTGTCGCAATTATAGGACTTCAATATAGTTTTACTAGTCAGTTTGTTGATTTGGTAGCAAAAAAAATACCAGACGAGTTTGGAAATTTTGAAGGGACTCGGTTGTTGCTTGTTTGTTGTCTGTCTAAATGAACTATTAGGAATGAGTGTCTTCGAATAATTTTTTCCTTTTTTTTAATTTCTAGTTTTTTCTAACTACTTTTTTGCCTCAACGATAAAATCCCAGTAGTGTCTTTTGCTTTCCATTGTTGCTTCCTTCTGGGTATTGTCACTCCCATCCCTATTTAGTTGATCGTCGTTAAGGCCATCAATTTGTTGTTGTCATCACCAATTTCAAGGCAACATTTACTGTTTTTTTTTTTTTTTTTGGTACTCGAAACTGTATAGTTTAAACAAATCACTTTTTAAACTGAGTGAACAATTAATCAATGTTCACACATACGTGTAAACACACAAACACAACCGGAGATATACAAACAGTCTTTCAAATTTTTATTTACTAATTGCAAGAGAAAAAAATCAGAAATAAAAATAAGTAAGAGGCGAAAAACACAGTGTTGATAGAATGCCAGGAAAAGTGCAAAACCAATAAAACTGTGAGCAAAAAAATTTATTAATTTTGAAGAAAAAACTTTTTTGGCAAGTAGTATTTCACTAAAAATAAGCCTTTTTTGTTGCTGTTACTGAGAAAATTGCAGTTGTTTAACAGCAACTGCGAACAGAAAAACAAATTAAATAAATATTGTTGATAGGTTTCTGAAATTAAAATTTGAAAGAAAACAATCAATGCAACTTAATTAATTGCTTTAGCCAAATGTTTTACTAATGTTTCTGTTCATTTCAGTAAAAAAAAAAAAAAGAATTGCTTTTTTTTTCTAGTACAACATTTCACAATTTTCTTGTTTCTATAAAAGGTTGTTGGCGAAGAAAAAATAAAAACGCAATTTTCTATAATTGCTGAACCGAAATCATTGCTGTTGATGATAACTATTCATTTCCATATTTATACAAAACGCATTTATATAACTAACATATTTCTGTTGACTTATTTAATACTGATGCTGACATGCGAAAAATTTCAAACGATAAACTTTTGAAGAAAGAAGAACATGGAGCAAAAAAAAAAGTGAAGAAAAAATCATTTTACGAGTAATTTTTCAAAACTACTGCTGTGGTGTAACTGATAGTGGAGTTGGACCTGAAGTGGGAATTTCACGCTTCAGCGATGACCGTCTAGAACGCTCTGTAGATTTACGGTACTGTTCATTTTTTCTATCAAAACGTTTTCGTCAGTGATCGTATGTGACAAAGTACATGACCAATTGTTTCCGCGTTTTTTTGCTTATATTTCTTCCCTCAGTTTTAATATTTCATTTGGTTCAACTGCCATTTTGACCAATTTGGAGCGCAAAATTTTGCATTTAGGGTATCGAACGAAGCCCAATATTGTGGTAGAATAGTCCATCACCAAAAAATTATAGTCACAAAAAATCACATTTGGTCGTCATCAACATTTGGAATTTATTGAGTGGGATTTAGATCTTTGACTGTTCACTGCCGTCTGCGATTTATTGGAATGCCTAACTTTTTCTAAGAACTAAGTCTTACTAAGGAATAAAAGTCATTTGTGTAGAAGCATTTCTGCCGACACTAATAGCCGTTGTAAAGCACTTTACCAGTATTATACGACTGATTAACAAAGCAGTTAAATTTCTGATCGATGACTTGTCTGCTGTTATTAATAGTTTTTAAAAGTATTTTTGAGTTTTTTTTTTTTTGCTTTTTATTAATTCTTCAAAAAAATGACCTTTACAGATTAGGATAGCTGTTCGGTCGCACACTAAAAGCAGAAGAAATGTGAAAAATTTTTATTCAATATTATTTTTAAAAAATAAGATCCAAAAATGTTTAATTTTTATTTCGTTTTTTTCCCCAGTCTCTATTTTCTTCTAATGTTATTTATTTCTTTGAAACAGTTCTGTTTAATTTAATTCTTATCCTACTGTCTTTGCTTCTTTGTTTCTTACTGATGCCATAATTATGTTTTTCATGCTGTGGCTCTAATAATTTGGCAACAATTGGAATTGCAAATATGAATGATTTATCAACATTGATGACATTTTTTTGACTTTTCTTAGTGCAAAATTCAGCGAAAAAATAAAGTTTAAAAAATAAAACAAAAGAAAGCCAACAGCTTAAATCAGCTTGGTCTTCACAAGATCACTTAAAAGTCGAACACGAAAGATGTCAAAAAAAACTTCTTTCAAGCAAAACATTTCTGTGAAAAACCCAAAAAGGCTCCGATATTTTAACTCATTTTTTTACTTTACCAAACAACTAATAAATTAATAAATTTGTATATTATATGTTGTAGAATAGATTCTATTTTAAGATTTGCCAACTGTTTCAGTTTATTCCTTCATTAGGCAATGGGTGATGCGTTTCTTTGGATGTTGATGATAACTACAATGACAACCAACACAACCAGAATAACAACAAAGTTTTTTTTATAAAATAAATAAAAATAAGAGTTTATGTTGCTTGATTTATAGGCTTAATTGAGCAATAAAATTGACGAAAAAATTTTAAAGCATGACAAATTTTTAGTTTTCAGTTGCAAAAAAAAAAAAA